TGAGTAGCCATGTGACCTTGTATAGGATTTGCCTCATGCCTGCTGTGGCCTGGGCTCCTGCGTGTTAATTCGGGCAGGTAGACAGTGGGTGCAATGACTTCACTGGACTCACGTAAGTGGGAGCTTCCTTGTGACAAAGTAAGACCTTCTTTTGAAATCATCTATGGTACAGGGCTTTTGAGGGTTATGGACTCTTCAAACAGTATTGTTATGTCCTCAATGGCTCCCTGACTTCCAGATGTAGCTCTGAGAGGCACAGTGGTATCACGGGAACAGTGCTAGGCACCAATGTGCCATCTCGGTTCTCTGGAATGTTGAATTAGGTGTTAGGTGACCTCTGGGTCCTTCCTAGTTCCATCCTTTTGAATTAGAGCACACGGGGCCTGTTTCTGCAGCAAGCAGACTTCACCTCAATCCAGCTTAGGGGAGGCCACGGTTAAATGATTAACCGTGGTTCCTAAACCTTGTAGGTGCTGAGATTGTCACTTCCGTTCTTCATGTTACCAATCTGCTTAAACAACCCCTTGTGTCCTGAAGCTGATGGGAATCCGTGTTCTTTGTTCATCCATCAGCTTTTAACTGACTCTTGATTCATTCACTCCTAGATTTTGGAGTCAGCCCGCCTTTGATTCCCAGCCCCACCAGCCCTGAGAGCATGGATAAGTTATAGAACCTTCTCTGTGCCTTAGTTTTTGCCTCTGTAAAGAGGGAATAACAACGGAAGCTGCCTTTTAGGGTTGGGATGATTAAATTACTTAATAAATAGAAAGTGCTTTAAGCAGCCTATGGCATGTAGTAAGCACAGTGTGTTTGCTATTAGCACTATTCAAAGCATTTCTCATGTACTCAGCACTATGTTAGGAGTGTTCCTTGTGTAATATATTAATCTGCAAAGCAGGCAGTACTGAGCCTCCTTTTTATACAAAGAAACCAAGGTTTACAGAATCTGCATGACTTGTCAGAGCTGTGCCACTGCCTCCAAGGGCTGCAGAGAACATGTCAGCAGGCCAGAAGGGAGAGGGCTAGGAAGAGCAGGCGGTCACCTCCTGCCCCTGTCACTTAGCGTCTGTCTTGCATTGCCTCCCCCTGTAGCGTATCGTTATTGCTCCAACCCAGATTCTTGCTGACGTCTTGTCTTGAACTGCATAACCTGTCAACACATGAGAATCATTTGTGGCGACTGGGGAGCACTGTGATTTAGGAGCAGGGGAGAGATTCTCGGTGAGACCGGAAAACTGCTGCTCCATGGTTCATTTCGGAGCTGCCACTCAGCCAGAGCAAATGGGAAACTTCCTGCTTAAAGCAATCAGGACCTTCGGGCTCAGATGAGTGAAGACACACATGTCTCCACTAATATCCCAGGTGGATAAAATTGGTTATTCTGCACCGCAGTGCAATTTCCTCCCTGCTTTCATTTTTTTGGCCTGACGTTGTGCAGATGGTAAGCTCTGCTCACTGGAAGTAAGTATGAAAATGACAAAACAGAAACACATGATATTTGAATATCACTTGAGCTGAAACTTGACGCCACAGTTCTGATTGAAAATCCAGCAGGCCTCTTTCATAGCCTCTTATTCTGGTTCCTTCCCTTCCATGGAAGCTATCTGTGGACTCTCCAGTGCTCTCCAAACCCCACAGTTGTTAGTTCTTACCTGATGGCCTGACTTTTCACCGGGCAGGCTTGACTAAGTTATCCTCAAAGTCCCAGGACACATGCACACATGTGCACACACACAACACGCATGTACAAAATATATACCACACATTACACATAAATGCATGTATTTCTACATACCACACACATACACGTGTATACACATATACCATGTCACACACCTGCACACACCTATAGATGCACATGCATCACACATTACAGATGTGCACGCTTGCATGCATACCACATATGTCACACACCACACAGGGATACATGTACGCCAGATACATGCCACAGCACACACATAAACACACGCACCTTTCAGGAGCTAGCCGGGTCGCACCCGGCTCTAACCTCCTTGGCAAGGACCTCCTGCCTGCCACTGTGCCATCCTCAGTTTCCTCCCACTCTCCAAAGCATCTCCTGTCCTTTGCGATCTCTATTTTTCCTCCTGCAGCACAGCTCTGAGTGCCTCCTCCAGAAAGTCCTTACTTGAGGCCTTTGTTTTTGGTTAGCTTTCTCTCTGTCTTAATAACCTGAACCTGGTTCAAAGCCTACTCTCAACACAGAAATGCAACTTTGTGAAAGCTGTAAGATAACTTTTCCTACATTGTCCAGCACCAGTACTTCTGGCACTTTTCATGTTAACTTCAGATTCCAAGGCAACTTGGCTCCCTACAATACCTGCACCGGGGAGTGACTGGAATTCTTGAAACCCTCTTCCCCTACCCTACTCTTTGACTACACCAACTTGAGTTTAGCCAAACTTCAAGACTATGCTTTTGTGTGCTCCCTTTAATGATTAACTTGCTTCGAGGAATCTGCGAGTCCAGACACAGTGGCCACTGACCTGGTTACTGATCCATCCTAATGATGTCTCTTGGGAGGGTTCATCCTCAGGGCTCAGGTCTGTTCCCTGTGAGGTAGTGGATTCCTATTGGTCATCAGTTTTACTTCTCAAGCCAAGTGGAAATACTGGCTTGCCCCTTGACCAGACTTTTAGTGACAGCCTGGTGTGTAAAGGTCTGTAGAATGGAAAGCTTATGATGGCTTTGCTTTGTTTCAGATTTTGGATGTTAGTCTCTTAAACTCCAGTTTTCAAGCCCATTGCTGCTTGCACCTGTCCAAAGAAGGGATTCACACCAGGAGTTTTGTGGTTGCTGCTCAGCCTCCAGCCATCGGGGGGCTTGCAATTTTCAGAGCTCAGCTGAGGATGGTGCACGGTCCTTGGGCTCTGGAGCCTGTGCACAGCAAAGGCATCCAGGTAGTTCGTGATCCTGCATGGGCAGTGCGTGCTCCCTGTAGACCAATTTCTCCTGCTTCTCTACAGTGCTTCGGGTCCCTGCTATCTATATTAGTCAGCTCAGGGAACCATAGCCGAACATCAAAGTTTGGGCACTTAAACAATGACTATTTCTTTATTCCCAGTTTGGAGGCTGGAAATCTGGGATCAAGGTGTTGACAGGGTTGGTGTCTCCTGAGGCCTGACCCCTCAGCTTGTGAATGACCCCCTCTCCCTGTGGCTGCACACGATCTCCCCTCTATATTTGTCTGTGTCTTAATTTCCTCTTCTTATCAGGGTTAGAACCCATCCTAATGGCCTTATTTTAACTTAATTACTTCTTGAAACACTCTATCTTCAAATACAGTCCCAATCTGATGTGCTCAGGGTTTGGACATTAACCTAAATTTTGTGGGGGAATCCCATTTAGATACTCTACTTCTTAAATACACCTGGCCTCATTGTGGGGCATCGTGGACTTTAACTTAGCTTCCCTAGGTGACATTTTCTCCTGTACAAAATGAGATTAGTGAGAATTCTTTAGGTTGTTGTGAAGATTAAGTGCATGTAAGGCTTACCATAGCTTGGCTGCTTAGTAAACGTCAGAAGCATTTAAATCAATAAAAACGGCAATGAAGAAGAAGACGAGGAGGAGGAACACCACTATTAGACTGTATTTTGACTATAATGGGTCTCTGTGACACCTGGTGACCATTTTACTTGTGTTACTCTCATTTTGCTCATTTCTTTCCGAGAGTCTTCACCGTGAATGCCTAGCACCCCGGATTCAGGTCAGAGCTATTCTCTGCAGTCAGGATTGTGAGTAGCTCTGGCGGGATGTGCACTGGGATTGCCTACTCTCCAACCTCTTCTTGGTTACCAGGAGGCCCTGGAGCTCCCTTAGTCATAACTCTCTCACTCAGGCATCTGCTTTTGACCTTGGCATCTTTCCCTGTGCTGTGCCAGGTGCTTGGGACATTGCCAGCCCTCCTAGCTGCCAAGCCTGACTCTCTTCCACCTCTGGAATGGCATGGGAAATCCCATCTCTCCTCCAGCAGACAGTCTCTCTGGTTAGGTGCTCTTGTCTGGGCACACAGCTGCATAACCCCCCATCCGCACCATCCCACAGCTGCCTGGCCTGCATTTAAAGCACCTGTGATAAAGGCTTTCTGCTCTAAATTTCCTGTCTACAAGCATCCAAGTGTCCATTGCTGTCACTCTTTTTTTAAAATCTTAAATTGTAAGACTGAATCTGATCTCACTCTCTGTCCTGTGTATTATATGTGCCTAAACATGCCCGGGGTAGAGGCTGGGTTAGTATAGTTTGCAAAGCAGTCACGCGCGAGCATGTTCTCTCTCCCCTCCACCCTGCCTGGTGCTTCTATGCTTTTGCACCTGCCGACTCTTCTCTACCTGGAATCATGTCTTCTACCTAGTCCCTAGGGGAGTACCTCCCTGAGTCAGGCCTGTGCCAAGGCTCCAGGAGCTGTGGCCCCAGTGTTGGGGGTAGGGAACTGATGCTTCCCTCCTGGATGCCTTTGGTGGTATTTGATCCGCACTGACTGTGCTATACTTCAATGATTTTTGTAGCTTCCTCAGTTGGAATAGGAACTCCTCAAGAGCTAGGATGGTAATTTAGTCAACGTTGTCTCCCCAGTGCCCAGCACAGTGCCTGGCTGCAAATGAATGAAGCCAGTGAGAAGAGATCTGGACCCATGCCATACTGGGCAGTGCTTTCATGGCATTTTCCGTTTGGCCTCACCTCTTCCTTTGTCCTGTTTTTAGCCTAATTCCTTTCAAGGCTCTGGCATGGGACTCTGAGCTCATTTTCATGATTGCTTTAAATATTTGGAGCTGTTGGCATGCCAACACGGGGACCCACGCTAAGGAGGGAGAGGAATTCTCCAGTTCTCTGGGTCTTGTCCAAGCACAAGGAATGTGCCAGAGGCAGGGGAGGTTCTGCAAAAGTGCCAGCTTGGGTTGAACTAAATTGTTTTTTCTACCTGGCTTAGGGAGCCAGGAATTTGGGTAAGAGACAAGAAAGTGGGAGGACACAGAGGTCTGGGGAGATGGAGTAGGGGAGAGGAAGGATGTCTTTCCGGAGAAGACCAGAAAGAGCCCCAGATGGAAGTAGAAGTGATGGTGACAGCGTGATCTATTCAGAGATGCAGTGTCTATGCCCAAAAATGGTGAGAAATAATGGAGTAAGTGGCTGGACCTGGACAGCCCGGGGAGCTACTTCTGAATGTTAGGGAGATGGGAGGAGACCATGGATGGATATCTTGTCACGGAAGAACTAGGATGCACCAAAAATCAGTTTGTGAATATTCAGCACATGGAAGGGCTTTGGGAGTCACCCTGTGTAGCCCCTGCCATTTTACTGATAAGGAAATAGAAATTCAGAATGTGACTAAGGACACACAATTTATGGTGGTAACTGGAATCCAGGCCTCTTTATTTTCTTTCCACGGCTCCTACTTTCTCAAGGGTTGTCGAGGAGCTAGAATTGGGCTCTTCAAGCTTTTTCCAGCAGTTATAATAATTAGAACAGAGGGCCTGGCTTCTGCTCGAAGAGTTCTTGCTATATGTCAGGTCTAGCATTAAGCAATTTTCTTGTTTTATTTTATTTCAGAGCAATCCTATGAAATAGACATCCTTGTCTCCGTTTTAAAGATGGGAAACTGGAGGCTTCAAGGCTAAGTGATATGTCTTTCTTCAACCAGGCACTGAGGAATGAGGCCTAGATTTTAACCTAGAGACTGATTCTACAACTGTTTTCCATAATCTTTATGGCCTAGGTATTATAGACTTTAGAAGTCTATGTCAGAAGAAAGATGACCTAAGACTAAGATGACCTAAAAGAAAATGCAGCTTACCAGTCCTCTTGACAGTAAGATTTGGGGCATGAGCATCTAGGGAAAGCATGGCATTTTTCTTCCCCTAAATGTTCTTTAGTCCAAAAAATTGCTGTGGCTATGGGGGTAAAGAGGGACCGATGACCCATGATAGGACTGTCAGTTCAAAAGTAGACTCTGAGAGAGGGCAGCCCAGAAGAACAGTCTAGTGGAAGGAAACGGGGATCCCTAACACTTTTCTGACTGGTTCCTAGCTTTAGAGAGTGGGATCCTCTTAAGAAGGACAGCAACTTGTACTATGCACAGCTTTACAATTATGTAGCAACTATAAACTGACAAAGTGTTTCCCACATCTTCTTGTGGGTTCTTACAATGTGCCTTCATTATCATTCCCACTTCAAAGATGCAGACACTGACCCTGAGAGGTCAGGTGGCTTGCTCAGACACCCAGCCAGCTAGTAGAAGTACCAGCTAGAACCCAGTTCTCTTGAGATCTATGCAAAAACCCTTTATCTTGATACCACTGCCAGTGGACAAAAAAGCCAGTGGAAATGGCCCTGGAAGTTGGACTGTTGTCTCCAGAAATGGTGATCCAATTCCCAGTCTAGGGTTACCCTAATTGGGCTAAGAAAAGAAAACTCTTTCCTTCAGCACTAATTGGCTCAAGAAAGACTGGAGACATAATTCTAGTTAATAAGGAAGAAGAAGGGCCTGCTGAACAGCCTATGAGAGAACATCCCTTGCTTCTAAAGAGAGCCACAGGAAAAGGTATACTAATCCATCTGATTGTTGTACTGGGAATGCCATGAGCTACTTGGAAGAAACCATCACACAGAAAAAGGGTGAACAGAGAGGCCAGGTTCTTTTTTTTTTTTTTTTTTTTTTGTCTTTTTCATTTTTATCGGAACCAGGGATCGAAGTCACGACCGCCTGCTTGCAAGGCAGGTGCTTATGCCGGTGAGCTAAATCCCCAGCCCCGAGAGGCCAGGTTCTTAACGATGTCATTCAACCAACAATGAGTTGCACCCCTGCCAAGATGCATGGCCTAGGCATCATGTTTAGACTTTAGACACAGCATAGTCTGGCAAATACAAGGGACAGAAAGCTTGTGTTTTATTAATTTTTTTTTTTTTGTTTTTTTGAGATAAGGTTTCACTATGCAGTACAGGCTGACCTTGAGCTCACTTTGTAGTCTAGGCTGGCCTTGAACTCACAGCAATCCTCCTACTTTAGATGCCCAAGTGCTGGGATTACATGCTTGCACCACTGCCTAGCAAAGGGCAGATATCTTGAATATCCTTCTCAAGGATGTAGATGATGTTTCCAGAAGCTCCTCAATAGATTGTTCTCATGACTTTTTGACCAGCACTATCCCAATCAGACAACAGAACGCCATAATTGTCTTAATTTAGTCTGGGTAAAAACAGCTTTAATTAGGCGCCAGGCACTGTTTCAAGGGCTTTATATGTATTATTTCATTTAACACTTTTAATAATTTTCTAGACAAAGTACTATGAATGGCCTCATTTTATTCATGAGAATTAAGGAGCAGTTTAAATAATGTTCCCAGGGTTAGGAAGTGACCAAAGTAAGTTTTGCACTCTGGCTCTAGCACCTGTGTGCTTAACTACTCAGTAGGGCTAGGAATGAGGTTAGTTTTCTTGAAGCCCGTGGCTGTACAGACTTGAACAAATGGAGAGGTGAAAATTAGAACAAAGCTGAACTTGTGTTAGGAAAGAAGGAGAAAGAGATGCTGGTTAGCAATAGTGTCTGCTACAGTCCTCCCCTTGGACTTTTCTGCTTATTGATTTCCCATGATGAGGGCTAACAAATGCCTTCACACCTGAAGCCAATTTGATTGTTTTTCATAATGTTATCTAGAGTTCAACTGTTCTAAATGCAGTGGGTTATTGTTGTGGTCAGAAAAGCCATCAGGGGGAATTAACTTAAAAGGATTTGTATGATTTAAAGCAATGGACATTCCAAGATATGAAAAGTACTAAAGGTCAAATTCAGAAGATACAGCTAGAAATAAAGAATAAGGGCAGTCTCTGAAGTTCTTGAAAGCCACTTGGAGATGTATAGGCCTATTCAGGCAATTAGGTCCACAGAATATTTGGGAAGGAGAGTGCTGGGCACTTAGAAAGCTTCATTTTAAAGGTTGGCAGGGAAGGAGTGTTCAAGGATAGAACTGCTTAGCAAGAGAAACTTCCTCCTAGTAAGAGTTTGAGTACAGTGATAGTATTCAAATGAAAAGGGAGAGACAATCCATGAGATAACGGGGAAGAATAATGAATTGGAGCTGATGACTGCTTTGATGTTAGAGGATGAGGAGTCCAAGGTGCCTTTGAAGTTTCAAGCTTTGATGTCAGAAAGAGGGAAACTGAGAGCTTGCCTGATGACGTGGAGGAGTGGGGAACAGAATATGGTAGATGTGGTGTCAGATATAGGGATTTGGAATGATGAGACATCCACATAGAATTAATAAGTAAACGGAAATGTACAAGTAGGGCGTTGATGATAATGAAAGCAAGAGGTGCTCACAGGATATTGGAGTGGGTGAGCCCTGAGAGCCACAGGATGCAGAGGAAGGAGAGGAGGTTGGTGGGAGTTGGGCCTCCAGAAACATCCAACATCATCTTGTCTCAGGAGATGGAATGCAGTGAAACAAAGGCAGGAAGATCAGAGATTTAAAAAGAAGAATGCACATAACAGGGAGGGAAACCAGAGATCTGAGAGAGTAAAGCAACAGGGTCAATAGTGATAAATCTTACCACTTCACAGAAGCCCAGGCTAACAGAAGCAAGCTTTTAGGTATTAAAAGAGGAGGTTTAAAAGACTGTAGGTGATCCATTGTCTTTTTCAGTTTATTTTGGGAATATGGAATGGCATAATGTTTCAGAATGGCAACTGGGTAATACGTTTCAAAGTTCTTAAAATCTGCAAAATTGCCAATACAGGAATTCATTAAGCAGCAAAAGATGTAATGATTAAAGTTTATTGAATAATTTCTTAACCAGCAGCACACTATTAAGGGTGGCATTATTTTCTGTTCTTTACATCAGTTAATTATTTTATTCCTAAGACAACCTTGTTTGTACGGCAAACACTGTTAATACTTTACACAAGTAAAGAAAATGAAATACAGACTGACTACTACATCATTTGAGCAATGTTTAGGAAAGAACAAGTCATAACACCCAGGTTTGTTTTTATTTTGATCTGGAGTATCCCTGAAGGCTCATGTGTTGAAGGCTTGGGCTCCTATGTAGCAAAGTTCAGAGGTGGGGCTTTTGAGAAATAACTGGATCATGAGGGCTTTGAGTTCATCAATGGATTAACCCACTGGTCAGTTCATAATTGAGTGAGAAATGGAAACTTTAGGAAGTGAGGGCTAGTTGGAGGAAGCAGTTACCTAGGAGTAGAGCCTTGGAGAATATACTGTGCCCTTTCCTGCATTCTTTCTGTGTGTTTCCTGGCCACTACGCAGTGAGCTGTTTGCCCCACCACTTCATGAGATTTAACCTCATCTGAGGTCTACAGCAATGGGTCAAGTGACTACGGACGGCAACTTCTGAAACGAGGAGCCAAAATAAATCTTTTCTCCTTTAAATTTGATTTTCTCAGATATTTTGCTGCAGTGACAGGAAGCTGACTAGGACAAGATTGAGATCAGAGGAGTAGCTGCCAGGACCTTGTTCATAACCATCAGGCAATCATGCCTCCTGAAGTGGTTAAAAATGAACAGAATCCTCACCCCAAGGATGTTTATATTAATCTTATAATAACAGGAAACAATCTAAATGCCTAACAGCTGGAGATTGGCTAAAGAAAATATGATTTCCATATGAGGCCATGGTCTATAGATGTTAAAGCTCATCTTGTAAAAGAATATTCAATGACATGGGAAAATGTTGATGATATAAGTTTAAGTAAGAAAAGCTGTTTTCAAACCATCGTAAGCCCAAATATATAAAGAGGAGAGATTTGTTATTACTCACATGTGCAGATGTTGGCAGATGGACTAAATTGTCGGTATCACCACAAGGTACTCTCTTCCATTTTCACCCTGCTTAACATGAGATCTCCTCCTATGTCTGTGGAATGGTTGTCCTTCTGCCTCTGGACTGAAGGAAAGGTAAGCAGGATGCATGGCAGAGTTCCGTGCCCATGTGTTATTGTTTTCTTTCAGATAGTTCCAGGGCCACTTTCTGGATGAGACACAAGTCTTAGTGAGTGTCAGCTAATAGAAATGGTTGGGTGAAACTCATAAGAAGAATATTTCAGATATATGGTGCCATTTGAGAGAATGTTTGTGGGGGGGGATCCTAGAGAGAGCACACAAGGACAGTGTCCTGCTCCTTGGACCATGGAAGGCAGGACAGCACCTCTGCACCTTGGGCAGCTTGACGTGGCAATAGCTGAATCCCAGGATGATCCAGAAGGTTCACTCAAAATCCTCTCGATTTTCTGTCCCATGCTTCACTCCAGCTTTGTATCCATGTTCAGGCAAAGCCCAGAACTGACTGCTTAGAAAAATATTTAATTGAGATTCCTCCTACAGTGTCTATTTCTGTCTCAATAAGGCCTTGGCATGCCATGGTGGCTAAATATATTGGCTGTTTCCTCTCCAATGCCAACCTAGTTTTTTAAATGTTCCCAAGTACATCTGCCCAGCTTTCCTCTGAGAGAGAATTTACATCATTAGCCCTCTGTGACCTGGAAGAAAATAACTTTATAGGATATTTGCTTACTTAGCAAAGAGAAACCAGGGAATTGTATCTGTGCAGAAGTGTCTTCATTCATTCATGCATGCAAGAATGCATTCATTCATGTAAATATCTGTTGAGCTCTGTGAATTACTGGTCCCATGTTCAACATAAACCACACAGACTGATGAAATTAGACCTGATTCTTGTCCTCACGGTGGTCATAGACTAGATCTACCAGCAAAGTAGGGTGTTAAGTACGAGAGATGCACCAAGTAAAGCTAAGGGTTAGGGTTTGCTGTACTCTAGAGGGAGGATACATAGGGAATGCGTTCCTAAATAACAGCCTCTCTATCTGTCCCAGAAATACTTAGGAACTGAGGTTAGGGGAAAAGGTGAAAATGCAGAGGTAGCTAGGATTTATGTGCGTGGTACATTGGTTTGGGGTCATTAGTTTGGACATTTTTCCCAGCAAAATTCTTCTGTTGGATTTGATACTGATTCCAAAGAAGTCTTAAGTATGATTAATTTTTCCTCTGTGGGCTTTGGTTTCAATATAAAATTTATTAGGACAGACAAATGTTTTATAAACATTTTTAGTGCCACAGAAACCCTTGTGTAAACAAAAGCATACATGGCACCCAATATTTAAGACCAAAAACATCAGAGCCAGTGTGGTCGAGGCAGGGATAGGAAACCCAGAACTAGGCCTGATCTCCTCCCACCCCACTGACATACCTCAGTGGAACTGCAGGGCCCCTGGAGGTGCATTTTAAACCCACCTGTTGAGGTGGTGCTTTAGGATTCCTGGCTATAAGCCAGTGTCTCTTTTTACTCCATCTGGACATGTGGCCGGCACCTTCCCCCCCGAAGGCAACTACCTGCTGCTGTTGAGCTCCAGTGGAAGCTGATGAGAGGTGGTCTTGGAGTACTTGGGATCACTGAGTCCTGGGAGCAGTTAAGTCATGGTTTCTTGGGTGAAAGAGGAGTATTGGCAGCCAAAAGGAAAGGTACAGCCTGGTGGCCAATTGCAGATAGTTCTGGCCCTTTTGTCCACAGAGGGCCTGTGGCAGATTTTCTAGGGGTGAAGAGTCCTTATTTTCCCATCTTTTTGATTGCATAACCTCTCAGTTCACAGGTTTTTACCAACTTTTTCAATATGTCGAGTCCTTGGGAATCTCAAATGAAGTTAACTTCCTGCAATGTCAAGCAAGAGGAGTCGGGAGATGGTGTTCCCATCTGAGGCCCAGTGTGTTATCTGTCTCACAAAAGAACATCTAGACTGCTGCTGGGACTCTGTCTTCATCTCATACTCTCAGACTCCCAAGAAATTTTTTCTGCTATCTGACTTTCTTCTAGTTCATTAATGTAAACCTTTTCCTCTGTGTTGATCTGTTTCCTTTAAATTATCCCAAGTAGACTTTTTTTCCATCCTCAGCACTGCCCAAAATCCAGTACAAGTATGAAGGAGTCTGAATGAATGGCCCGCAAGAGTTGTCTCAGATTTCTATCTCTGTTCAAGAGCAGTTTTTGGGAGATCTTGGCAAGAGGCTGAATGGTGGACATGACATTTTTAGGGTGAGGTTGAATTTAGTCCTGGGGAGCTTGCAATTCCCAAGATCTTATTAACACTGGGACCAAATACCAGACGTTCCTTTGGATTTGCGTGTCAATATACTTTTTAAGCAGCGTCTTCACTGGCCTGGACCCTTTTAGGGCATTCCAAGTTCCTGTGCCTCCGCCCCCGTCCTGGGGCTGGCCTGCAGTCAAGCATCTCCACACTCTGCTGCTTCCATCTGGAACTTTCTTCCTAAGACTGCCTCCAAACCTGCTTGCTATGTTGGTGCCGAGAACCCACACAGCATAGCCTACCGAAGCCCTGCTAAACTGCAGCAACAGTGAAGGGGTGGGCTTCCATGGAAGCAGAACACGTGGGCAAGAAGACCATCCCTGGCACCTCTTACAGAAAGGATGCCATAAGGAAAGGGGAACAAGTTGCAAGCTGGGAAGAGCTATTAGGGTATGCGTGATCCAAGAAAGATAGTATCTGGAGCATATAAAGAACATCTCCAAGTGATCCTTGAGCCCAACGATTCTGTTTTTTTTTTGTTTTTGTTTTTGCTTTAGTTTCATTGCCATTCTAATTGACTTTGCAAGGATCCATGCAAAATGAAAGTTCAGGTTCTTGTATCCAAAAATTAAGCATTGTAATACAGTGAGAGCAGACAAACTAAGCACAGTGAGCCCAACAGACCTGAAGAATTCACTATAGTATTAATTTTGTCTGAGACTTGACACTTGACCTGGTATGAAGTCAAATCCTTTCCAGAAACTTATTTTTCTGCAGAACAGTGAAAGAATCTGAACTGAATATTGGGGGAACTGCTAACTGATGCCTTCAAAGACTCAATGAAGTCTTAGGAAAGAAGATGTTGAGTACACCTCTAGTTTCCTCTGGGCAGTTTGCATAATTCTCTGCCTCAGGCCCAGTTATTAACTCAGTTAAGTTTTGGGAAACACAAGGCAAGAGTCATGTGGGTAGTGGGGATAGAATAGAAGGGGAACAGAGTCCGACTCCTCCGGGGTGTGCACTCGGGAGCATGTTCATGCAGAGGGCTGTTGTTCAGACATTTCACATACACCTGTCCAAAACTGCCCACACAGCTTTCTTCTTCAGAGAACCTCCTTTCTAACTTCCCAGCCCCATTGTTGTTGGTGTACCTCTCTTGCTATCCTGACTCAAACAGGGAGGCATCCAGGATTCCTTTCCCTCTTAAATCCCTTACACTTTAGCCACCGGTCAAGCTCACCGTTCCATCTTCTTATCGATGATTCCATCTTCTCTCACTGGCTCCTCTGGCCTGCTTCCTGTCTGAGGAGCGGGGAGGCCCTTAGCATTCTCTTCCATCAAAACTCTCATTGCACAATATCAGTGCCTGCAACTAATCCCATCGCAGTAGAATCAAGGTCACCATCCTCTCCCTGGCTTTCAGTTATCCATACGCCGTGACCCTGCCTCTTTCCTGTTGCACCATTTTGTGCTGTTCCCTTCCCAGATTTCTTCTTAGGTTGCTCTCATCATGTTAGGCTGAATCGTCCCTGAGAGTTGGGTCTGAAATGCCAGATTTAGTTCTTTTCTAACTTCCATCCATGGAGGCTCATTTCCTCTGGGCATCCTTCAAGCTCTAAGTCATTCTCCTTATACTCTTACTGTGTTTGCATTGATTAGTTCCATTTAGTACCACTTGGGTAGTGTATCAGATATTGCTAAGTATTGTCTTTCCTCTAAGCTGGGATCTTGATGGAAAGGATCTGAGCGTCTGTTGGCATTGTCTCTCCACTGCACTGCGCACCAGAAAGCGGGAACGGAGAGATTCACATTTTTTGAAGTCTGTAAGTCATGCCATTGAATCATTTCAGCCCTAAGAGTAGAGTGTCTCTTGTCTCTATTTCATCCTCTGAGCTGAAACTGAAAGAAGTAACTTCACATCACTGGTGCCAAGTGACTGAGTTAGGATTCAAAACTAGAGTTGCTAGATAATGCACTTCCACAACTTCATGTCTGGATTCCAAGGTGAGGTGTGCTTATTCTGATCTCCCTTGAAAAAACTTACATATCAGGCTGATCTACTCCAGCGATTGTTTTTTTTTTTTTTTTCAAAAACACTAAAGGCAAGTTTTATGATTAACAGCTATTTAAAAATGCTCTCTTTGTCTTTCTGGGAGTGATTCTTTTAAAGATTTTTCTTGGCAGGAATTGGCCCAGAATGTCTGATGCTGCCTCCGAGTTGGGCAAGCAGTGATGAAGCTGACAGCCACTAATGCATCTATTGCAAGCCTGGTGTCTGACACGGTTTGATAAATGTCCTCCAGATGCACGTGCATTAAAGGATGTTCTGCAGCCTGAGGTGCTACTGGGGATAGTGGAACCTTTTGGAGGTGGGGCCTAGTGAAAGGAAGTTAGGTTAGCCAGGGTGTGGGGTTGTGGGATTGGGACTCTGGCTCCTCCTCTCTTGTTCTTTACTTCCTGGCCGCTGGGAGGCAAGCAGCTTCCATCATGCCTGCCATCATGTGCTGCCTCCCATAGGCCCCGAAGCAATGGGCCAACTGTCCATAGGCTGGAGCCTCCTAAACCGTGAGCCAACATATACATTCTTTTTTTCTTTTTTTGTTTCTTTGAGACAGGGTCTCCCCATGCAGTTCAGGCTGCACTTGAAGTCACTTTGTAGCCCAGGCTGGCCTCAGACTCATGATCCTTCTGCCTCAGCTTTCTGAGTGCTGGGATTATGGGCATGTGCCACCTCACCTGGCCATACCTTTTCTTTTTATAAATTGATTTATCTCAGCGTATTTACTTGTGACAGTAATGGAAAGCCAAACTAAAACCACAGTAGAAAATGTGCTTATTCTTACATAGGATTAGATTATAATCAAAGAAACAAGGTCACAAAGCAAATTCCATAAGAGCATTTAGATAGTATAAATATATATTCATATGTATATTTATATATATGTCAAATTTATGATATATATGAGATACCTATGTCATATGTCATTATATATATATCTCAGATAGGTTGCCAGACATGGAAACTTAAAAGCCCTAAAAGAAAAATATTCCATTCCATTGTACTTAATTGTAGAAGAGAGGGAGGAGGAGGAGGGGAGACAAACAGAGAGAGAGAGACAAAGAAAACAGAAAGCTCAGGTACAGGTCAGGAAGCTATATACAGGAAAGAAAATTTAACAAAAAGGAATGTTGAGGGGCTGAGGATTCAGCTCAGCGGCATAAGCACCTGCCTTGCAAGCAGGCGGTCGTGAGTTTGATCCCTGGTACTGATAAAAATGAAAAAGACAAAAAAAAAAAAAAAAAAAAAAAAAAAAGGAATGTTGGAGGGCTGAAAGGAAGATCAGTAGAATATTCTATTAAGTGGCTGGGAAACATGTCTTTAATCTTTGGAATTACAAGGGAAGATGACTTTCGCCTTGTGTATCAACCTCCTTCTGTCTTTTTCTTGCCCCAGCAGAGGGTGTACAAGGCTGCGTGATGCTGAATTAAAGCAACTTTGCGTGTGTTCTCTGCCCACCATGCTGGAGCTTGTTGACTTACAGGACAAGGCCTGGGCTCCTCTTGGTCAAGCCCTGTGAGGCTCTTGGTCCTGAAACACAGATGGAAAAGAGAGGATGTGGCTGACTATTCCCATCTCAGATTCTTCTAGGAATCTTGGCCTTGATTTCCAAGGGCCCTTATTCTGGTTTTATGGAGCACAACCATAAACTTGACTCATAGCTTTCTGTAGATCTAAAAATGGCGCCCCAATGTCTGTTGTTAAGCTCAGCCCCTGAGTGTCTCTTCATGTGTCTTCCCAGTTGGCCAGGAAGAGGGACTTCAAAAGCTGAGAAAGCTGAAGGGTGAGGTTATAGTCCTATCTAGAAATCTGTTCTGGGCTTACAAGTGTCTCATGGTTATAACAGCCACAGTCCTTCCAGGGTGAAGAGAAGAAAGTGAGGGATGAGTATGGGGTAGGAGGGAGTCTCTGTGTTCTGCCTTTCTCTGTGGCTGATGTTAAAGGGCAGGCATTTGTGGTGGTCAGACAGTGCCCCCCATGCTGCTTTGGAAAAGCACTTCAGTTTCCTTAGGGAAGAGGCCTGTCACATAGAAGATAGCAACATCTTCATGGAAATAGCATCAGCTATAGAATCATAGATTCCTGGAATCAAACCCCATTTAACTGTCAAGTATTATGTGATCTGGGAGATTTTCCTGAGCCAACATGTGCCTTAAGAATTGAACAAGAAGAAAACCTGAGTGGTCCCTGACATCTTTTGAGTTTTAGAGCTGACTCCAGCCAGAGATGGCGCTGAGGATTCATTAGGGCTCGGTTTGCTCACCCAGCCTGGAAGGAGAATTTGTTTAGAATCGACAGTCAGAAGAGAAGAGGTATAGAAAGAGCCTAGAGGCTGGAGGCAATCATGCTGTGGGGTATGGAGAAAGGAGAGAAACCAGGCTTTCTGTTTCCATCCAAAGCAAGGTGTTTCTTGATGGATAAGTGTGATACCCACTCTGTTCTCACAAATTTCTTATCCCATGACGCAAGCAGAGTGGCTTGGAGCAGCCTCCCCAGCAGTTTTAAAACGTGGCCCCCAATTTATGGAAACCTCCTCCGAGCAAGGGGGTAGGATCTGTCTCCCTTCCCCTGGAATCTGGCCGTGGGTCTCCCTGACAAATGAATACAGTGGAGGAGGTGCGATGCCAATTTCTGGGCCTGGGGCCTTCAGAAACTGGCAGCGTCCACTTCCTGTCTCTGAGATGTTTGCTCTTGGAACCCAGCCACTGTGCTGAGGGGAAGCCAAGCAGCCCGTGGGGAGGAAGGGCTCACGTGGAAAGGAGCTGATGCTCCAAGCCCACATCCCTGGCTGAGCTCCTGGCTGACATAGGCATGTGCGTGCCAGTCACAGGGGCAGCCATCCTCGATACCCCAGTCAAGCTGCCCCAGCACAGAGAGCAGAACTGAGCCGCCTCACTGGGTTTGGTTCACATTGTGGCTCCTGAGTGCAGCAGAGGCCTAGTGCCCTTTAGTCCCTAAATCTTGGGAGCATTCATTATGTTTGGTACAAAACCGATGCCTCTGGCTCTGGAAAGCAAGTCCTTCCAGACGGTTCCTTCTAATTTTCTTAAGACAGCACCCACTCCAATCATCCTGAAAAGTTATCTTTCTCTGACAAAGTCTCTCAGCCCTTCTCTCTGAATGAAGAAAATGATGAACAGGAATTTTAACCCTAGAAGCCCACTTACACTCACTCACAAGCCCCCCCCCCCACCATGGGAGGGACTTCACCACATGCCCTGGTGGAATCTTAGGGTGTGTGTGTGTGTGCATGCGTGGGTGTGCACAGAGGACACTACTGCAGACACTGAAGATAGTTAGCAGGTAGTAGGGAGCTGATTGTGGTGCTGCTGATTTGTTTTTGGGTGGAGTCAGTTGGAGACCAACCGTCTGAGTCACTTTCCTATCACTGGACACAATACCTGACACAATTCAAAGGAGAAAATATTTATTTTAGCTCACAGTTTCAATCCATGGTCAGGTGACTCCAGGACAGAAACAGGATGGCAGAAAGGCACTGTGGGGGAAAAGCCTCTGGCAGCCAGGACACTGGGAGAGTGAAGCGGGTGGTCGGTGAGCTGCCTCTGTGGACTATCCCCGCCTGCTAAGAGCACATTCCGCTCTGAACTACTGGGTGGATGGATCCACCTTCTAGAAGCGCAACTTATGAATACATGAGTCTTTGGAGAGGGGAGACATTCTAGATCTAATCCGGAACAGCAACTCTTTCTTTTCTTCCTACCTCCCTTCCTCCATCTCTTCTTCTACTCCTCTCTCCCTTTACTCCTTCCTTCCTTCCTTCCTTCCTTTTTTTCTTTCTTTCTCATCCTGCATTTTCCAAATTTTCTACAGTGGGTATGGATCGCTTTTGTATTGATGGTTATAAAACTCACTTCCAGTGCCAACACTCAGGGTTGACCAGAATTCACATTCTGGTGAATTCTTTTTCCCTAAACTTGTCTGTACTCAAACATGTGCTATGTATTTGAGATCTAGCCTTAAATGAAGTTTCAGATCTTGACTTTTCACTGTGTTTTATACTTTAGGAATCTCTTTTTTGCTCTATAAATATTTCCCCAAACATAACTTTCTATGCTTTTAGAATACCCTAGCACATATAGTTTTCTTTATAGTGTCCAGCATAATTTATTTAATTTGTTTAGCAGAATTTGACATTTAGATTGTGATTGGCACAGCTATATAATATTAGCACACACAAATACATATGTGTGCCGTATCTTTGTACACCAATCTCTACATCTTTAAACCTTTAAACTCTCTTTAAATTTTCACTTTGGTTCATAGAAGTGAATGTTCCAGATTTAACCCTATGAACTTTTGGGAGATTTTTGATACACATTTTGACACCAAATGGCAGAAGTAGCCTTTCAACCCATCTGTTTGCCTTCAGGAACTATCTCCTTATATCTGGGCATCTTTCCCCCTTTTATTCTCTGGAAAGAGCGGGGAATGGGAGAGTCCAGGGGAAGAAGAATCAAGTGAAGATATTAGAGACAGTTTTTAGATGGCAGAAAGAACTCCTCAATTTAGTTTATGAATACTTGAATGATTTGAGGGACATTTTCTCTTTTTATCTTCCCAAACTAGTAAGATGAAAGACAAGAGGGCACTGACCATGGTCACATGGACAGGTGCCTTCCTCATAGGCCCTCATTTAACCCTCACGAGAATCATGAGTTAGCTGCTTCCTGCGCTGTAAGTGTGGACACCACTCTCTCAGGTTTAAATAATGTGTCTGGGATCTAATAAAGGTGGAACCTAGACGGCGCCCAGGGCTGCTATGCTCCGCAGGCAGTGGAAGCAACCCCAGTCTGGCTCCTACCTTCCCATAGTACTGCAGGACAGGAGCAGGCCGTGTCCCTCTCTGCCTTCGCTGGCCCTTTTCCTGTTTAAATAGGAGTAACTAAGATGAAGCCAAAGGACCCTTTCCCAACAAGATACAGAATCCCATTTCCCAGAAATTATCAAAGCTGTTTTTTTCTTACATGATGTGTGAATCTGAGAGAAGCCTCCTCCTTCAGGGTCTGAAGTTGGCCTTGCCGGGATGACTCTTGGGACCCTGCTGGGAAGAGGCTTTCATGGGTTGCTGGGAAGTCCTCTGGGGCTGGTCTGACCTGCATTCTTCCAGCATACTTCATCTAGGAGCATAATCCCTGAGCGTGTGCAGCGAGGAGAGGGAGGGCGCCACTGGCTGAAAAACTATGGAGGGCCTACAGATCGAGGGCTATTAATAATGTGGCTGTTGGTTGCTGGGCCAGGTCTCTGAGTCTATGGCAGGGAAGGGCCACAGAGGGCAGCCAAGGGCAAGAGGACCTGCATGCCGCTCTGAGCCCTGTGTTTAAGCCCTAGCATGCCAGAGGAGGATTGCTCCTTAATCAGAGCTTCTGTCCAAACCCTCACTCTCCCAGCCACTAAACTGCATCTCTTACCCCTTCAGATTTCCTCTGCATGATTTGTCCTCCTCGGAGTCACCCCAGATGGACCCCATGTGGCTCTGTTTAGACGTCTCATTCCATGTGGGTAGCTTCATCTGGGGGTGACATTCTAGCTAGTTAGAAACAGCAAAGATGAGCCTAGTCCTTGATCGAGCTGGACAGCCAGCTCTGAAGGTGAGGTAGCAGCACTTTGTGGGGTACAAGTACTAACTGTTTAGTTGCTGGACCAGGGGAAGGCCAGAGGGGGCCAGGAGAGAGCAAGTGAGAGAGTCTGAGGCTCCAGTGGGGCTCAGGATAGTAATTATTTCCCCAGGGGCTCACAAGTGTTTAATATTTTTTAAGAACAGATGTGATGGCACCAATGCATGCAGGGATGGCTGAGGCTTTGCGTAGGTGGGAAAAAAACCGGGACCCGCCCATGGTTGCTCACAGTCATTGTAAGCGTGTTTTTCTGACCCTGTAAAAGGCATGGCACAGGCCCCTCTTTCTCTCCATCTCCGCACAGAGTCCAGCGTTGGTTTCTGGAGTCATGTTCCAGCAGCTGCCACATTCCAGCTTGTCAAGAACAAGCTTAACATGACCCAAAGCCGGTTCCCAGCTCCGCAGACGAGTGGTCTGCTGCCTTCCGCTTTCCCTACGGCATATGTACTTCCTCATGTTTCCCCCACAGCCGACACTCAATCAAAGGTGCCTGGAAAATATTGGCTTTTTGCGTCTATTACATTTGGATTAAGTTCCATTTGGGAATTGAAGTTACAGCCTGCAGTTTTCAAAGCCGACCAACACAGTCTCTCTCCAGTGGATTCAACCATTTCTCCTTTCATGGTGTGGAGCCATTGATCTGGGATTCCAGAAACTGGCTCCACTTCTGCCAGCTGCAGGACCTCTCTGGTTCCTTTCCTCTGTTATAACAGGGGCTTGGAAAAGCTGGCCACTCAAACTTATCCTCCCCGCTCCTCCCCATCCTCCTCTTCCCTCCCTTCCTCTCTCTCTTCTTTCCGCCTCCATTATTGATGCAGTAACACGCTATCTTTTATGTTTAAGAGAGTAGAGCCCGTGAGTCTGGGGTCCAGTGCAGGTTCTATCATTCTCCAACTTTGGGCATCATAATAGACAGCAGTAGGGGAGTTGTAAAGGATAAAATAGCTCATACTGGTACCTTGTTGAGAACACTAGATCCTTAGTAAACCCTTAATAAATGCCATCTGTTTTGCTGCCTCTGGTTAACTATAGGTACCATGAAAGCTGGAGTCTTTCTCCATCTTAAGTGATGCCCAGCAGCCACATTCTAAACCTGCGAGCAGAAGGAGCAACCTTGACATCCACTGAGGTTTCACCTGAGCCAGCACTGACCACGTACTATCTCACTTCATTCTCACAACAATGGCAGATGCTCGGTATTATTTTCAACCGGCTTTACTCCTAAGGAAACAGAAGCTCAAAAAGACAGAAGCCGCATCAGTAACAAGTAGAGGATTATGGATTCAGAACCAGGTCTGTGGGTGTGAAGAGCAGATTCAAAACCGATGCCAGGGCGGATAAAGTGAATTCTTTTGGAAGACCAGCCCCTGTCCATTTGGGACAGAAAGCTCACACCGGTGCTTGGAGAAGAAAGTCACCATGGGCGGGGGACATTTCCTCTAAAACCACCTCCTCCTTCTTCTTTCAAACCAGGTCTGAGGATCCAAACCACAAATGTAAGATGAAAGAAGCTTGTTAATGAGGTCCTCCACCCTGGGAAGAAGATGAAAAAGAAAGAAAGAAAGAAAAAGAAAAGAAAGGACAGAGAGGAGGAGGAGGAGGACAGAACAATCCTTGACAAATATTTTCTGTTAATAAATTCCATTTTGCCTCTCAGATGTTTGCCAACTATCTAAACAGGACACATTTTTCACATACCAGGGCAAACCGTTGCTGAGACGCGTCTCCAGCCTGCTGCCCGCGGCCCTGTTTCCACAGCCTCCCAGGAGGCGCCTCTCGTGACTGCTGTGGGCTCCCAGCACGACTGCCCGTTTCCATGCTGGAAACGGGGAGTCAGCCATGCTCCTCTCCAGAGCGGACAAAGCGCCCTGGCAGCCCACAGCTCGGCCTGGCTTTTCCTTTCTGTCTTTTCCTCGCCTCTTCTTTCCGACTCCCGCGCCAGAGCACAGAACACTCATCTTGCCTCCTGGCTCCCTGGCTGTCTCCTAGGCCGTCCACCTCTCCCCACTCTGTCCTACCCTTTTCCGTTCTCTGTCCCTGCATTTCCTCGCCCTCTGTCCTCCCTCTTCCTTCTCCTAAGCTTGTCTGGTTTCCCTGGCTTGGGAGATAAGAGGTCCTCAAACTCTTGGTGCCATCTTTCTACACCTCCAACCCTCTGCCTTCGTACAGGAATAGAGTCGATTTATTTTGTTGAGGATCTTGTTTTCAAAAAAAAAAAAAAAATGCATCAGGTCCCAGAATTGAGTTTAATGACAATTTCAACTAGTGCCCTGGGCTTGTTCATTTTGTTTTATTGAGTTTGTTTAGGGATAAGACCTCTTCAAGGTTCTGTGGGGAGATGTGTGCCAACACACACACAATTCACCAATTCCTGAAGCCATCTGCGGACTATCTGGATGAAAAGACAGGCGTGTGTCAACACCATTCTGCCAAGTTGGAGAGCAAATACGGGCCTAGTTAAAATGAAAACAAGGCCATGGGTTGGTTGTCTTCTCTCCTGATGGACCATCTTTCTATTTCCAGCTCAGCTTTTCCCTTGCTGGAGTGGAAACAGGCTGGCTCCCTCCTGCGGCCCTCTCCCAGCCCAGGAGGGGAGTGAGTTTAACACACTGGTCATCTCACGAACCAGCACAAGCATTCTCCTATAGCCTGGCCTTTGGGAGGAGATACTCTTGTTTTTTCCTCTGGTATACTTTGGAGACCATTTGAGAGCCTGATATTTTATGTTGAGATCAGAGTCAGAATCAGAGCAGAACTACGGCAGAACCTCTCTAGGGTCGCAATACCCAGAGCTTAATCTACTTTCAAAAACTCCCCTCTTCCTCCCTCTCTCTCCTTCAGCAGCTATTTGTTGGCACTTACTATCATGTAACTGTGGGGCTAGAAGCCAAGGGTATAAGAAGAAGCGACAGAAAGGTTCTTGCCTTCATGGAACTTCTTATCTGGTGAGAGACAAGTGCTAAGCATCAGTATGAGTAAGTCAGTGTGGGGAACCAGGTACAGCAAGAGCTGCCTTTAGTCTTCCTGAGAGCACACGTTTTGTCTTTTGCGATTAAGAGCTTCCAGGTAGTATAAACTATTTGACCATGTAGTTCTATTTCCAACATTTATTCTTATTTCTGTTTAAAACAGTACATATATGTAATTATAATAATATATAATATAAGGATGTTTATGTGTAACAAAACTATAGCTGTCAATATACTGATAATAGCAAGTTATTTTCTTTTTATCAGTACCAGGGATCAAACTCAGGACCGCCTGCTTGCAAGGCAGGTGCTTATGCCGCTGAGCTAAATCCCCAGCCCCAACAACAAGTGATTTAAAAACATTCCCCAACTGATAGGATGCTGGTTAAATAACTGATATATCCATACATTGGGATTAATTCCAGCTATAAAAAAGCAGAAAGGAAACGGAGGAAGTTCTTTTTGTACAGACACACATGATATAACCTCAACATGATATATAAATGACAAGGTTAAGAGCAGGTATTTGATGTGTTACCTTTTTTTTGTTGTTGTTTTGTTTTGGTGCTGGGGATCAAATCCAGTCTCTTTTAAATGGTAGGCAACTGCTTTACCTCTGAGATACATCCCAGCACCCAGTATTGCAGTAGTGCCTATCCCTGCGCATGCGTGTGTGTGTGTGTGTGTGTGTGTGTGTGTGTGTGTGTGTGTGGTGTTTATGTGCAGTGTATCCCTGGAAGGCTACAAGACAGGGGAGCTGTGTGGCTGTGGGACAGGAGTTGAAAGTAGGCTTCTCACTGTGTTCTCTTTTGTACACTGTGATGCCTGTGAATACAGCACTTCCCCCAACATTTTAACTGTTTGAGAGAATGACACTGGTTAGGGGTGAGGACATGACAACCTGAGGCTTGCCTGACATTTACGTGGAGGGTCAGCCACACTGTTTTGTTCATTATTGGTGTGGGACAGAGTCCAGGTCTTCTGGTTCTTCAACAGAAACTGGGAATGATACGTTCAAGAAAGCATTCCACTTGAAAGTGTCAGCTCAAATTAAAAAGAAAAGCCAGGTCACACGCAGCCGGTGCAGGCCTACCGGAGTCCACCCATGTGGTGGGCACTCCAGTTCCTGAGAGGCTGTGACTTGATTCAGTTTTCAAACTTGAGTGGTTTGTAATATGTAATGATTTGCAGACAAGATGGCAGGCGAGTGGCTTTGACTCGAGAAGACCTCACCCGCATCCCTCCTTCACCACGTGTGTGAGCTAATCCCTGGCCTTTAAATTTTTTTTTTTAATTTTTGAGACAGTATTGTCACTAAGTTGCGCAGACCAAGGCTAAACTTGATCCTCCTCCCTTCACCTCCCAGAGTACCTGGAATACAGGCAGTGATTTTTTTTAATGGGGTCTCAATGGTAGTACCTACCTTAAGAGGTAGTTACTAAATAAAACAGTGCCTGTAGGTTGTCTATAGTGCTTAAAATATTACTGTTACAAACACTTGCTATTTTCAATCAGCAGCATCCATTTACTCTGGCTCTGGTTTAATAATCCCATCTCCCTTCAGTGTGCTTTGATCCTGCATCTCACTTCACGTCTAAGAGGCCAGTGGATGAATCCATCCTCTTGATGACAGTACCAGATTCAGAGGTCATCATGTGACCAAGTCCAGACCTATCAGAGCCTGAGAATCAATTCTGGTGCTCCCATTGGAGCAGGACTGGGGCTGGGGCTGGGAAATGCCACCGCAGAGGCCATTTGCTGTTGGAGGACAGGTCTGTGATGGAACCAACAAGAGCTCAAAGGACTGAGACCTGAGAGAGAAATCAGGGCTGGGTGAAGGATTCATGTTCATTCCTGGGGATTTCAACTTACAACTGATCCAGTGTATTCCCTTTTATTTTGAATAGGTGCATTCAAACACAAACACACACGGACACGGGCATGGGCACGGGCACAGGCGGACCACAGGAAATGGCCAAGCCCACCATCAGTGCCTGGTGTCTGAGGCTCTTCAGCGTCCTACTTCTCTAGAGGTGCTGTGGAGTGGGTGACATTTGCCAAGTCTTGGTTCCTGCTTGCAAGGGCCCTGTAGCAGCATCATGGAAGGCTTTCAGATCGGGGAAAACTGAGACACAAAATCAAGTGTGAGCCAAAGGTGAAAGAAAAGGAGACAAAGAGGCTGAGCAGAGGTAGGCAGGATCCAGACTCGGGGAGGGACGGGGGGGAGATAGGTGGGAAGCTGATTTTGTTTCTAGATTCTGTGCAAAAACTCATGAGGAGGTCTGGGTTCCATGGCACTGAAGTGTCGTGGCACATGGAGGTCAGTGCTGAGGCCTCGGTGCCCCACATCCCAACAGGCAAAGCTGAGACCTTGCTGTGTGCCTGAAGCTGTGCCCTGAGGGACAGCCTGCCAAGGCTGGTGCTATGTGTGTGAATCAGTCTATCAAACAGGTGAGGGTGGGGCTCACTCTGGGTCATACTCTTCTCATTAGCCACCCAAGGACTTGGCCTGCCACGAAGAGAACCAAATGTGCTTTGCAAGAAACAAACTGGAGGACTTCAGTGGACTTTTTCCTTTTGTTTTTGGAAGAGTGACTCGAAGCAAGTGGACTGAGGTGGGGCAGAGGGACTACTGCAAAGAAAGGCCTGCCGGTCTAAAGCCTCTTGGAGAGGTGTCGGTCTCTGACTGTTCCTTTCCTTAAGGGGTGTTGCTAGGAATTGACAAGGTGTCTCCTTGGCCACGTTCCATGTGAGTAACAGGGATGGGACAAGGTGAAGGTTGTGTTTGGAGGAAAGACACCAACCTGCAGTCACTTGAGTCCAGCTCCCCTATCTTACAGGAGCAACGTGGTGAATTCTGTCTTGAGGCAGTGAGGTCCTTTTGGTTACCATTCAGGCTACCATACTTCCAGATGAGTTCATACCACAGTTCTCCATGGTCTGGCCCATCCCATCCTCATCCTCCCCACCTTATGCACCTGGACAGCAATCCCTGTGTCTTAGTTAGATGTAGTGGGGCAAGAAGGACCACATTGCCTTCAATACCTCTGACTACCTTGGCATAAAGGATATTCCATCGCCTTCAAAGGAGGGGGAGAGAAAAATGACTACTGGATGGCTGGGTTAGAAGATTTATCAGCTTCTTAGGACAGCTGAAGACCTGAGCTGTTGCCCTTGGTAGCAAGGGGCTCTTGATGGCTGTTACTTCGTCCATTCACTCAGTGAACTCTAGTGGTTACCTCATGCTGGGTATTGGGTTATGGATAGGTGAGAAGTCAAGACAACGAGTTTTGCCAGAGGGTGGTGGTTGGTATGAGGAGCCATGGGACCCCAGCAGAGCTGTGCGGTGGGCTTGCTTCCTCATCTGTAAGTGAATGTGCGGTGCCACATCATGAAAGGAAGATGAGGAGGCTTTGTTGTGGTTCTAATTTAAGGAAGAATTTGGTCTCAGGTTGGGCTCCAAAGCAAACACTGAGTAATGGCTCTCAAACTCAAGTGCACGTTAGATTTCGAACCCCACGGAGAGTAGATTTGAAAAGGGAGATTTCCAGATTTGACCCTAGGAATTCTGAATTCTTTGGGACTGGGCCTCATAATCTGAGTTGTAAAGAAGTATCTTGGGTCAGTTCTGATGCAGACGATCTGTGGATCATGCTTTGGAAGGGCTATCTCTAGATTCCCCACCACTCCTGTACACTAATGTTTCCCTCCTCTAACGCCTGTGCTTGGAGTTAGCTGAGGTATTCACAGTGGAGCCTTTAGTTTGCAGGCTTCAACTTTTTTGCTGTGGGACCAGCAGTAATAATTGCAGGCTGTCTGCTTGACAGACATTACG